TGTAGGGAAGCAGATGGATTCCTCCAAAGTAGATGGACCTCACTCAGGTGGATGAGTTCCACCAAACTAGAGGTTGAAGTGTACCCTTATCCAAAAGGCTGAGATCACAATTGCTTAGAGTTCAGATTTTTTAGATTTGGGGATATGTGCACATGTATAATGAGATGTCTTGGGGATGGGATCAAAGTCTAAACACAAAATCTCTTAATGCTTCATACACACCTTATACACATAGGTTGAAAGTAATTTTATACATTTTTCTACTTTGCTATACCGTGCATGCACTTGCCAGAGAGAGAGAGAGAAACTATCCCCCGGGGTGGGGGGTGGCTATACTGCAATCCCTTCTCCTCCATTCTCCTCTCAGGACTTTAGGCATACACACACAAGTACACTGCGATTTTTCAAACTGCCAAGTTTGGGACTCAAACGGCACAGTCGGCCATGTAGGATCTAGTCATCCTAATCACGATGCCATCTGGTCGGTCCCTACAATATTTTTCTATTGCACTATTTTGACTGTGACTTATCACAGGTGTGGAATTCTCCACTTTTGGCATCATGTCAGCCCTCAAACTACTTCAGATTTCGATGTATTTTGGATTTGGGATTTTCGGAATGGGGATGCTCAACCATATATAAGGGCTCTAAAATATGTGCCTAGTGTGTCATACAAGAGTTGGTTACGGATTGGTTGTGGGCTAGAGGGCAGTAACTATCATTACCACTACTCTCTGATCTTTCACCTTGGCATTGTTGGATGTATTGTACAGAAATGCAGAAAGCTGAGGGAGCACCAGGATTGGGGAAATAGACTGAACATTTGGTTTGGGGTTAGTATGTATTTGAAAAGTAGCTAACATCCAGATTCATTTAGAATTTGAAGCCATTCTTTCCAAACTGAGATTTGAGTAAAATGACACCATTGTATTGTATTAAGGTGATTTCTTTTTTCTTTCTTTCTTTTTTTTTTTTTTTTTAGAGAGATTTTTGCTATGGGGCATGTATGCTCGCCAGAGAGACAGAAAGAGAGAAATCCCCCCGGGGGGGGATGGTCACCCCGCCAGTCCCTTCTTGTCCACTCTCCTCTCAGGACTTTGGACACGCTCGCACATGCGCCCAGCATATGTTTCAAGCCTCTGGGTCCTGGACTGGATTCTGGGTCGACAATGTGGGAGTCCAATGATGTAACCATTGCGCCATCTGCTGGTCTTCCGTTGCATTGTATTAACTGAGCTTTCAATGCATAACTCTGTTACTTCTAAAATTGGCCGTGACTGCATGCTAAGGAATTGAAAATGTGTATTTGAAATATGAAATAACTTTTTTTTTTTTGGAGAGGTTTTTGCTATAGGACGCGTGCGCTCGCCAGAAAGACAGAGAGAGACAGAGATATAGAAAGCGAGAAATCACCCCCCAGGGGGGATGGTCACGCCACAATCCCTTCCCCTCCATTCTCCTCTCGGGATCTTGGGCACGCACGCACACGCGCCCGGCGTGAGTTTTAAGCCACCGGGTCCAGGATGCGAACCACGGTCGACTACGTGGGAGTCCAACGACATAGCCATTACGCTAACTGCTGGTTCCCTGAAATAACTTTTTAAAGGGCAAATGAGAAAGTACCCCCCATGAGGCATAATCACGCTGCATCCTTTCTCCTTCATTTCTTCCTTCTTTTGGGATGTTGGGCACACATGTGCACACATCCAGTGTGTTTTTCAAGCTGTCGGTCTAGGACTCAAACCATGCAGTCAGCCATGTAGAATCCAGCCGCCTTAATCCCGTGCTACTGGATGGTCCTTATAAAGTAATTTTTTACTAAAGTATTAATACTTACTCATTTTGTACTTCGTGCAGATCAGAGACTGAATCATTTTGCTTTTCCAAAACACAATTGATTATTTGTAATATAATCTGGGTGAGGTTCATACTTATTTCATCACATTGTGAAATATCAGATACTTTGGAAACAATAATCTTTATTTCTTCTTCATCCAGAGGTGGGGATTCATTTACCAAATTTAAAATGTGCTCTGCAACATCATCTGCATTCTCTGGAGAAACAGAGTTGAAAAAAAAATTGCATTACTTTGTGTTGGGCTGGGTTGGTCTGCTTTTTTCCCTTTAAAAAGTGTCTGCACTGAGACTGGTGGATGGCGTAATGGTTATGTTGCTGGGTTCTCATGTAGTTGATCACAGTTTGAGTCCTGGACCTGGTGACTTAAAACTCACACCAGGCATGTGTGCGTGAATGGTCAAAATTCTGAGAGGAGACTGGAGAACCAATTACAGCATGGCCACCCTCCCCCTTGGGAGTGATTTGTCGCTTTCTGTCTCTCTGTCTCTCCAGCAAGCACATGCACCCTGTAGCAAAGAGAGAGAGAGAGAAAGCAAGCCTCTAGTGATTCAGGCACTGGACTCCCGCATGGTCAGCCACCATTGGAGTTCCAGACATAAAGGCTTGCTTCTCTCTCTCTCTCTCTCTCTCTTTCTCTCTCTCTGAGTACATGAGCCTTATGGCAAATTTAAAAAAATAATGATACATACAATTAAATAAATAATTATTTTTAAAAAGTTTCTGCACTCTATGATAGAAACTGAAATACTGGAAGATATAAAAACTTTTTATTATGAAAATTTTCAAACATACCCCAAAGTAGAAAGAATAGTATAATGAAACCTCATTCACCCCATGAGTTGCCCAACTCCAACAAGTGTGGATAAAATAAGATTTTCTTTCCCCCCAGTCCCAAATTATTTTAGAACAAATCCAGGACATACTTAATTCATAAATACTTTAGTATCTATAATAAAGGACCTTCATTTGTCATAATAACAGAACCAATTAGATTAAAATGAAAAATTAGCAATAATATTCAACATCTGCAACTATTCACTTAGTGCTCAAATGTCTTTAATTATCTCATAAATTATTTTTAATAGTTGTTTATTTAAATCATCGCCCACTTTTAAAGTTAAACAAATACAGCACAAATTACTTTTCATTCAATACAAGCCTCATGATGTCTTCTTACATTTGAAAAAGCACTTACATTTGAGTTTCATAACCAAAATAAAAAAATAATTTAAAAATATAATGTGTTGGGGCTGGCAGGTGGCATAGTGGTTAAGGTGCCACTCCCACATGATCAACCGTGGTTCAATTCCAAGATGGGTAACTTGAATATCAAGCCAGGTATGTATAAATGCATGCCCAAAATCCCAAGAGGAGAATGGAAAGGGGATTGTGGTATGGCCTTTTCATCCTGAAGGGTGATTTCTCACTGTCCCTCTCCATCTCTCTATGAGGAGCACACAAACCCTATGGCAAAAACCTAAACAATGAAACAAAATCTGCTAAGGAAAATTCCAAAGAGAGATTTTACCCACAACAAATTTAACCCAGGATACATTATCATCAACTGTTTTGGGGAAAACAAAATAATTTTTAAAAAAAATTCTCTCTCCTTCCCTCTTTTTCAATGTCCTTCATGGTTACAATCATCTCACACCAAATCTCTCTCTCTACAACTTCATCTCCCCTGAAGTCTCCAAGGCGATTTTTAAAATTTAATTTAGAAACGTGGAAAATGGTTATAGATACTGGATACAGTGTGGGAAGAGAGTGGGAGAAAGAGGAGAGTGTGAGGAAAGACATTAAGGAGAAAAATAGAGACAAATGTTTATGGGACACAGAAATGGATTATTATCTGTCGATAATAACGTGTATAGTATCCCCAACTGGACTGGTGTGAAATGTATCCATGTTGGAACATTCACTTTACTAGCTAAGTGATGTATATGATTGAATGTATAAAAGAAATTAAAGAAAATATATATTTTTTAAAAAGTTAATTTATTTCTTCTGAAAAAGAAAGAGATACACTCCCAACAGGGTCTTCACACTGAAATCCACCCTCCATGCCCTGCACCCCCATCTCAGCCGGTGGGATCACAAAGAGCCTGTCTAGCATGCTCAGAAGATCTTGGACTGCAAAAGGTTGAGTTACTCCTGGTCCACCTGCCCCCCTGGAAGGCTATTTTTTCTTCCTTCTTCTCTCTCAATTTTTAATTTCTTCTTTCTCTTTGCTGCAAAAAATTCTCTGTCCTCCTGAATGTAAATTAAGCAATCTTAACCAAGGTCCTCTCAGTGCTCCCCCCTTAACCATTATCCCAATCTGCCCAACTGCTGCAACTAGGAACTGAGTTGGCAAAGATGGCGTTCTTTCTCCCTGAGGAGGTGAGAGAAAGAGGAGGTGACTGAAGAAGGTTGTAATTGTTTCTGAATTAATATTTCATTTCTGTTAATGTCTATCCTCTGGTCAGTTGAAGAAACTGAGAAAATCATAAGGGATAGAAGAAAAAGATAGTGATCTCATGTATGGTTCTTTTTACTGCTCTTATTAAATTGTTCAAGCTTGGTTGAAAATGGAATAGCCAGAGTTGCTTAGTCATGATTCCTTGGGCTTCAGTGGTGCGACTTCACTTCATATAGTCCCTGCTGTGGCAGAATGAAAGTAAACAACAGGCCAATGGGAGACTGACTATACTGTGGAAAGTAATTATGGACTTTTTATCTGAAGTTGCAAGGGGACTTCAAAAACTTCATGAAAAAAATGGAATTAAAACACAAGTTTATTCTGGTGCAAAAAATTTTGAAATCTATGCATAGGTTTTTCATAATACTAAAAGAAAGAATTTGTTTTAAATACAAACATAGTTTTTTTTAATAGTATACATTTTCCATGAACTTTTTGACTATATATATATGTGTGTGTGTGTGTGTGTGTGTGTGTGGTGTGTGTGTGCATGTGTAGTGTTTTGGAAAAATGCATGACAAATTACATTTACTGTATAAAAAGTCCAGGTCCCTAAGTAAAAGCAATAAAAGGAATAGGTCCTTTATTAACTTATTATGATTGTTTGAAGTACTACTACAATTAATGGGTCAGTAATGGCAACAATGAAAACAATAATATCTGTCATGTATTGAGCAATGTCTACAAGCCAATGTTCTAGTTGTCTATTGCTGTGTAACAAATTACCTCAAAACTTAATGGGCTAAAAACAACAATTTATCATCTCTTATGGTTCTGTGTTGACTAGGCTCAGCTAAGCAGTTCTCACTTGGGGTCTCTCTTGCAGTTGCAGTCATGCTGAGACTGGACACAGTTGAAGGCTAGACTGGGCTCAAAATGGCTCTCTTATATGGCTGGGAATGTATGCTGACCATAGCTGGTCAGTTGGGCCCATCGACTGCACTCCTTACACATGGCCTTTCTCAGGCTTGGGTTCAGTGGTATGCTGGATCTGGCTTCTAATGTACTGGAGTCAATTTGTACCAGCTTATAAGAATCAACTCTTAATTTCTGAGATTTTTGTTATCTGGTTGTTAAACACAACCATTAGTAAAATTTAAATGATATAAATTTACAGTTAAATAAATTATATTTAAAAAAATTCATGATGTTCAAAGGTCCCCACTTCCTAATTATTTTGTTGAATTTTACTAACCTATGCTTCTTTTACGTTTTTTTTTTTTCCTTCCATATGTGTTTGCAGGAGAGAGACAGACAGAGAGAGGTAAAGTGACAAATCCCTCACTCAGGGAAGAGAAGATGGCCATGTCACAATCCCATCTCCTCTCGGGACTTTGAGTATATAAAAGCACATGTGCCTGGCGTGATTTTCAAGTCACCAAGTCCAGGTCTTGAACGATGGTTGACCATGTGGAATCCAGTGCCTTAACCACCAGGCCACCTGCTGGCTCTACTAATCTATGCACTTATGGATAATTGTGCCTATTGTATCTGTGTGTGCCTCTCTTCCTAACTTCATAGTTCAGTGCCTGCTACAGTTTGTAATCAACCATGGTGGGGGTATGCGTGTGTGTATTATATTGTGAAAACTGGCAAATGTTACAAATCAGTACTTTCTGCATGTGGAGCTGGTTGTTAAATATGTTTTAGCACACTTATGTGTGGGTTTCTTATAGCATGATGCCTGGGTTCTCAAAGGAGACATCTCAAATGAGAGTATACTAAGAGAAAGGATGCAGAAACTTTTGAGTCCTCTTTTAAAATCTCATAATTAGTAGTGTCCCTACTGCCAAATTCTACTGGGCTAAGTAGTCACAAGCCAGCCCTAGTTCCTCTCCTAATGGACAAGGAGAGAACGAGTCATTCTTTGGCATTTTGGAGACAAGATACAAGAGAAAGATCTTATACACTCATTTTCTCACTTAATCATCAGAGTAACCCCCATATCCTCTTTGTACAGGTTAGGAAATTAAAACACCAAAAGGTTCCGGACTAGTTCTCTAACTCCAAAGTTTGAGTTCTTCGATATCACTTTTTCTTACAGCATTGTGACTTTTTCTTTTTCTCCACAGCCTTAGGAGTTGGAACTGTGCTTTGCAGTCCTTCTACCTGACCTCCTGGGAATTGCATCATTCTCCCTTAATCACTCACTACCCTGCTCTGATCGTGGTGTTACCAGCCAACTGAGTCTGGCTGCTGCTTCTCACGGGTCAGTAAAATGAGAGAGAGAAGCTGGAGAAGAAGAAAATTTCTTCTGTAACCAGTTACAGGGAGACAGCAAATATCATCAAACTGTCTCAATAAGCTGAACATGATCTCGGAATTTATAGGTACAAGATACAAGCACATGCAAATCATTCCTCGCTACAATCAAAATCATTCATTTTCCTCTGAGTATCTTGATTCTTTCAAACTCCCATTCCTGGTTTCCCATCTGACCATTCCTCAAACAGATCTCTCTGACTCAGCACTTGGTCAGATTGTTCTCATTAAAGTCCTTTCGTAATTTCAAAATGGCTACAGTCCTGCCGAACTTTAAGATGGCCTGCTTCAGGAGGATGGACACAGACAGGAGACAGTTTTGTGAAAAGTCCCAGCCAACTTCATTAGAGCAGGATACATCTTCAATATCACAGAAACAACAAAAGTTGAGCTCAGAAAAGAACCCAAAAACTTTGAAGAAGAGTACTTCCAGGAGCCAGCAGGCAGCACGCTAGTTAAGGCACTGGAGTCCC